AACCGCAGCAGGTTGGGACGTGCGAGCCGCAGAGTCGGTCTCCGGTGCCGCGGGCCGCCATTTGCAACCCGAGGCTGGAGGCCGCCATGCCGGCCTGCTTCCCAGCCGGCTACTACAACTACCTGGCTCACAAGGCCGCCCAGCTAGCCCCACTTGACTTCAGGTGAGTCCAGCACAAGCATGTATGCCCAGCATGTACATTTCATATATACTGTACATCAGCTAGTACAGTAAAATACTGAGCAGTGCAGTACTTTATGGTCCTTCAGTTATTGGTCCCTAAATATAATTCTATGTTGACATTTCAGTACAACCTTTACTGTAAAATAACAGGACAATATAAACAATGAGCATACACTAATTTAATTTACAGTACTTTTCATATATACATATAAATATTTTTTCTTATTTCATTTACTTTGCACAAGTAAATTAAATAAGAGTAAATTAAATACACAAATTTAATTAGCTTTCCATATACTGTATATATGAGATTATGTTTATTTTTTACAAATCAAAATGTGTAGTTTTCTGATATATATATATACTGTATATATATTTATAAATAAATAAACATAATCCTAAAAAATAGACATATATTGACAGCATTTTGTTAATACTGTATAAGCAATGCAAAAATTGTGTTTCTTGAAACAGTATTTCCTTCAAGTTATGCTGAAAAAAAATATCATGTTTTCCAGGCACCCACAAGAAGACCTCTAAGGAATTAACCTTGAAAACTGTATTTTGCAGGTTTTCAGCCTAAAATTCTTGTGAATTAAAAATGAATTAGTTCAAAACTGAAGTAACCCTTCCAAATTTTTAATGTGGAAAGATTTATGCGCAAGGATGGGCAGAAACTGTGCCAACAATTTTCCCAGTTTCTTCAGTTTTTGAATTTGATAAAATTTAAGTTATAATCTGTAGGATATTGTTTTTACAAGAAACTTTCTACATGAGATACTTTCTTCCACCTGAACAGAGATATCAATTTTGTTTAATGTTCTTTATGACATATAGAACAGAATACTACAAATTCATTGAATAAAAATGCTCTATCAGCCATTTTTAATAGGCATTCAGATGTTCTTTTTTTTAATTATACCAATCGTTGCTGTCATTTTAATTTTTTTTCTTGTAACAAAGGGTTCAAAATAATAAGACGTTGATGTTGACGAATAATTTTCTCTTTTTTTTTTCTGCAGTTCAAACAGCTCTTCTTCCTCCGGAGTTGGTTGGTCACTTCAGTCAACTTCGACGACCAGCGAACACTGCAACCATCAGGAAACCGAAGTTCAAACCCGCTCCTCCTTGAGTAGAATCCGCCCCAAGGTAAATTATGCGCAGAAACAATTTTAATAATAAAATAAGAAGAAAAAGAAAAGTTTTGTCACACGGTGTTTGTTGAACCGAACGTCATGCTAATTATTCGGGTCTGGACGAAAAACAATGAATAAATAGGTGGAGTTCCACTGCGAAGTTTGCGACGTCACGCTCAAGTCCGAGTTCACCAAGGAAACGCATCTCTCGGGCAGCAAACATGCAAGAAAGGTAAATTTCAGATTCCAAAAAATAACAGCACTGACCATTTACGGATGCCAATATGGAAACCACTTTTCAGAAACTGTAAGTATACTTGCAATAAGCTTGGCAATGTATTATGAATTTACAAATACGTACTTTGGATAGTTTGAGAGTTCATTTTTCATTAAAAAAACATTCAAATTGTCTCCTAAAAACCAAAAATTCAGACTACTGTAAGTACTGTGCCAACTTTGTTGCTCATAAGCATTTACTTTCCACAGATCATGTAAAACCCCACTGTACTTATATTACTCCATTATTTGTGATATACAGTACAGGTGGACTCTTTCTACAATGATATTGTGTGCAGCAATTTTCTGTATATACTGTAAATCAAAATTTTGTGTGGTTCCTCATGTTATAGGATTTTCTACAACAAAATTCTCTCATCTACATTAAATTTTTTCTCATCATTTGAGTTTTGTTGCAGTGTGTGTACACCTGTATACAATTTTTTTTTATGTTTGATCATCAATTATATATTTTAATTTCCCCAGAAGATCATTGTACAGTAGTTCTAAAAAATAGATGGAAGAAAGGAATGTGTCTGTAACTCTGTACTGTACATGTAGACTCTCCATACAATGATTTTATCTGTGTAAAAAATTAATTTTGGGTCCCATAAGGATTTGAAAAAATAAATATCAAGATTTGATTTTTTCTGGTGTCCCCTAAATTTGGTTGTAGAGAGTCAGTCCAACCTGTAGTGAATATTGCGATTGATTAAATTTCAATCCATTTTTATTTGACATGATAACGCGAAATTACCAAAAGTACAGTATTTTTTTAATTCCTTTAAAACGCTTTTCAGGTTCAAGCAGCGGAAACGTCGAAGAAGTACACAGAGCCGGACGCAAACACAGAGCCCGGCATACTCATTGAACGAATCAAAAGTTGCGACGGTGGTTCGTTCCACTGCGAAGTCTGTGATATTGACCTCAACTCCATTCTTCAAGTCGATAGTCATGTCTCAGGTGAGGTATTGACTAATGCAAAAGTTGGCCACTGCAGTACTAGAGTGACAAGGTTGATGTTTATCTCGTGGCATAAAATTCCCCGAGTCAACATATTTCATTAGCTGCGCTTCAAGCTTTTTGTTTTTGTTGCTGATTCAAGCTTGTGTTAGGTACAGTACTTTATTCCCAGTTAATGGTGGCCCCAGCCCCTGTTTGTCTCGTTCATATGATGACTCGCACAAATTCATGATTATTTCCAGCGATTATACATTTGATTCTGTAATTGAACTGTTAACTGAAGGAATTCCGTGACATTTGTCGCGTAACTGTGGATTTTAAAGGTTACTTAATTTAGTTGATGAGCATGAAATGTCAGAAATGTTTGAGCATCATGATATTTTATCTCGAGAGAAAGTAAGTGGTTCTAAGTTTGCTACGTACGCTCTTGTTATTTTTCAGTAATTTCTCTTCATTCCGAAGGCAGACATGAGCCTTGAACGCGTAATCGCTCAGACTTCGCATATTTAACAGCTCATTATTTAAATACGGATTAAGGCTATTTTCAAATTCAAATTTCTTTTTTTTCTTCAGCAAGGAGTAAAGCGGGTGGGTAACAGTGAGCCAAACAAGTAGTGCCGGATGTTGGACGCAGCTATTTCATGGCTGCTTTTGTGTGCCAAATTGTGCCAGATCATTGAGTCGACCATTCTTTAGTGTTCTCCCGTATTGCCACACACGGGAGAACACTAATGGATTTTCGTATTGTATTTCTGTATCATATTACTGTATATATCATATTTATAGAGCAGAAATTTATATATTGCAAAGAATAGGGTCCATTAGGTGATTAGGACACCTCCATTATTGCCCAGTATTTTGATGAAGGAAGGAGGATGGTGGACTCAAATCTGGCACAATTTGGCACGGTCCAACATTCGGCTCTACTTGTTTGGCTCACTGGAAAAAAGAGACGGAAACAATAAACAAATATCATTTAAACAATTTTTTTCATTCTAGGTGCCAAACACAAGTTCCTCAAAGAAGGCAAAACTTGGAAAGAAAAGTCGAAACGTCGGAAGCCAGCCTAATTTAGGAGGAGAAATGCTCAGGGATTTCTTTCACGACTGTCTCCACGACAGCCATCGTTAAGAGATCAGCATTAAAATAGTCACGGGAAAGTTCACGCATCAATCTCGGTATACATTCCGAAGCCAAGAAATACATTCGCTTTTTTTCCAAGCACTTCTTATCACTACACTCCTCCTGGCACCTTCTGCGATTCCGGAGGGGAGATTAGACCGAGAAGAATACAGTCCGCTTCCAGTAAGGTCAAATCTCGTGGTGAACCCAGAAACCTTGTTGACAGTTCCAAGTCTTTGATTCGCAACCGCACTCTGGCTCCTCTCACGTAGGCACTGCAAAGAAAAATATAATATAACATAAAAGTAAAAATATTCCCAATTTTAAATACCTGCTGGACTAAGGTCTACTTGCGAGGAACAACCTGTATTACTACTAAATTGAAACTTGGTCCTAGTTGGTAGTTATACCTAGCAATTTGACTGGAGAAATTAGGGTCAAATTGTGAGGTACTACTACCTGAATTTAGTAGTAATACAGATGGTACCTCGCAATTTGACCCTACTCCAGCAACGGATTAGGGTACAAATTTTCTACACGCTAAAGACTACTTCTAAATTTTAAAAATTAATTTTATTAATTCATAGAAAGTCGAAAATAAACATCTAAATTATTTTATGGAATCCTCCATGCTCAGAACCCAAATAATTGAATACACAAATATCTGTGTACTATTCTCTACCTTAATTTTCGTGACTTCAATTAATTTCTAAATTTGCAAATCAGGTTTTCAAGTCACTAAACGCAACAACCACAAATAGCATTACTCATTTGAATACGCGAGCATTTTTAGAAAGTGCGTGGAATCTGTAAGACGCGTCTATTTCAAATACAAACTCAACGCAATTTAGTTTTACAAATGAAGACCTATCTCTCTTCCCACAACACTACCTTGAACAACAAAAATTCACTAGAACAAAACAAAAACGTAGATCAGTCTCACTCTGCATTCCGCTCAGGTCGCCGCACGACGCACGGAAACTTCCACCCGAATTCCACGTACAAGTCATCGCCGACAACGTGATAAATTTCTCCGGTCACCACAGCACCTTCGGGGTCGCCAATCTGCATCAATCGACTGTTGCGCAACAGAGTCGCAAACTTGAGATCCTGCTTCGGGGTTGCCTGGGCCGGCTTCTTGGGCTCCAGAAACTCCGGATCCGTGTATTTCTCGAAGGCCTTCGCGAACCCGCCGCGCTTCTCATCGTCCTCGAGGTTGCTGCATGATCTCCGCGGGGTCCGGAACCACAACGCGCGATGTTTCAGAAAAGTTAAACACGGACGCAACTTCAGGGACATCTGAAATAAATAAAAAACGGCGTGATTTAAATATCTGTTCAATAATGCGGTACGTTAGAGCAAGGAATAAAAAATAGTCAAGGATCTCTATCGTGTCATCTACCACGCATGCAGACCCCCTTTTCTTTCCATGTGGTTCAGGACTGTGCCGATTTGAAAAACGACGTCGTTTTTTCTTAATTTTGTTTCATTTAAAATAAAGTTTTGGAATGCCTAACGCACAAAAGTTGCGTACAAAATGCCAAGTTTGTCGGATGATCAAATATGTTGAAATATAATGGATTGATCCTATTTTTACAACGGAGGATACTTATGAAGTACGATCAGAACAACCAAAAACACTAATACTAATACCAAGACTATCCGAACTGAAAATCGAAAATGGCATGATAATCATAACTTAGATTGTGAGACGGATACATTTATTTTCCTGTTTGTGTTCAAGTGAAAATGTTTCAAAACAATTACAATTATTGGCATTTCATGCAAAAATAATCTCACTACAACAAAGCCATGGGAAATCGGGAACTTAGGAAAAAATCCACACGACAAATGCATAAATCGTACATAAAATAAAATGATCATTGTGGCTAAAAAAAATTAAACCTAAGAAATAGTTCGTTATAACGAGAGTCTACTGTATTTGCGTAAATACAAGTCCATTTTCTTCCACCTAAAAAGCCAGATCTTCAACAAACAAAAAAAAGAAGGACGTGCGAATTGGGAAGTGAATGTCCCTGAATTAATTCTCGGGAAGGAATTAATTAGCTAATTAATTCCTTCAGAATTGTTCAGAGATGAAAGAACATAAAATGTTCGTATTAGAAACTATGCTGCCATTTGTTAACAGTCCCATTTCTCTTGGTAGATGACACAACGGACTCGCATCCAAAAATCGTAAGACTAAATAAAAGCCGTAGACAAACATCGTAGTCAAAGCGAATACATGATCCATCTCACACACATCAAATAAGTTGACTGATCATGGAAACTGAAAAGCAGCGCGAATCAACGAAGAAAAAAAATTCAATAGAGTATTTCATCATAGCCTCCCACAAGCTTCCAACCCCCCAACCCATTAGCTTTCCGACAAGCAATCAAAAAATGCGCTCATCAAAGTTGAACTTCCCGAATGAAAAGCTGCTTTTTTGATACTATTCGAGCCACAAATTTAATACAAAAAAAAATCAAAATAAGAACCGGAGGTTCAAAGAAAATCATGAAAGGAACTCAATTTCTTCTTGGACGCAAATAAGCTCATAAATTCAACATTTTTTCAACATGATTCCCACCAATGCTGACACATATTTTCAGCAGATGAACCAACAGGTTAATGAAGAATAGTAATAATCTTCTCTTGAATTCCTTTTCGGGATTCGATTACCAGCATTTAAAATATTTAAAAATATACTGTGATGAAATATAATTGAAATATTTTACAAAGAAATGTCTGAAAGAGAAACGGAGATTTAGTCAGACTTTCCTAAATCAAACTTCCGTAAGTCAAAAACCTCCACAAGTCAAATTTTTGTACAGTCCCTCGAGAACAATTATGAACCTTTCCAAGTTAGATTTTCGCCTTCAAATCTCGTTTTTCTAAATAATAAAACAAAGTTGAGTGCTTGAGTCACACCTTCAGTTGCTTTCTTTGAATCACACGTCGTAGCAAGCATTGAACAACAAATTTTGAATGGGTGATGAAATGGACTAGTCCGAGAATAATTTCTAATCGAACAACACCAGAGCAACTCATCCTCTTCTACGCTTCGATGTTCACAAGTTATCCCCAAGAACGATGTTTTCACGCTCACAGACTATCTCTTGTCCTACCAAATGATCTCTCGCCATTTTCGAGTTTGTCTCCATTTTTTTTGGCCATAGAACATACCCTTAAGATTCCCTGCTACTGGTAGAACAAAATCTGCAGGCTAATGATTTGGATCACCAGGCATCGTTATGTTATCTGAAAATATGTCGAACTTGGCAGC